CTAGCCGGTCACCAGCCCACCACCCCATGCTGCAGAGGCAGCCAGCCCTGGGGCACCCCAGCAGGTCCAGGGAGCGCTGGCGCAGATGCATCTGGGTGCCCATGAGCCTCTCTTGTGATGGTGCCCAGGCCCTCTGCCCTGGTAGACACTGCTCTTCTTGGTTCTGCCCTGCCCAGCAGGTCCCATGAAGGGGCTGGTCTGAAGCATCTGATGCCAGTGGCCCTGCATCTTTGTGGAAAGGTGACTGAATGTATTAGCATTCTTTTCTCTCCCTCTCCCTCTCCCTCTCCCTTTCCCTCTCCCTCTTCCTCTCCCTCCTCCCTTCCTTCCTTCCTTTCTCTCTCACAGGGTTTTGCTCTGTAGCCCAGGCTGGCCTTGAACTCACCATGTAGCTCAGGCTAGCCTCACAGCAATCCTCCTGCCTCAGCCTCCCAAGTGCTGGGATTGCAAGTGTGCGCCACCACACCTCTCTTGAATTTAGCATTCTTAATGCCTCATTATCCATCTGCTGCTCTGACTTCTGTAAGGTGGGAACTCTGGTGCAGGTGTTGGGGCTCTCCCCTCAGTGGGACCTTGTTCAGGAGGGTCCGGGGAACCATGAGAGTATCTTGGTTCCAAGGGGATGGGGAGGAGGGACAGCTTCCAGGGTGGGTGTTGCCAAGTGTGGCGGAGTACGCCTGGGCAGAGGGGCACTGTGGCGTGGAGCACACACGGGGTGGTGAGATGGGGCTCCCCTCTCTCTCTGGAGTAGCTAAGAGGCCTCAGCCATGCCCCCACCTGGAGTACATCCATTCGTGAGACAGGTGAGACATTCAGAGAGAGCAGGAGGAAGTGACAGCAGTAGAAGGGGAAGATGGGGCTTCAGAAGGAGGGGAACGTGGCTGGGGACCAGTGAGGGTGTCCAGGGCTACCCCAGGGCCGCTGGGTATGCTGGTGGGGTGTAGACCACTTCCAGGTGGGCTTGAACTGAACCCACTGCTCCAGTTGGCCAAGTAGGGGGAAACCAGGCCACGTCTGCCCCAGTTCCTGCAGGCCCCTGGGGCTTCCAGCCCACACAGGGAGGAAGGGAGGGCCCTGAGGATGGGTCAACGAGCCTGACGAATAGAGGCACCAGCTGTCCCCCTCTGACTCCCTCACTTACTGTGCAATCTTGAGTCCATTGTGTTCTGGGAAGAAGCCAGGCGAGAAAGAAAGTGAAGATGTGGACGAATCTCCAAAGGGAGATTGTGGTTCTAAATTATAGTTATATTTTGAGGGCTTTCATGTCCTTTGGGAAGGGGCTGGTGGCTTCCTGTGCAGGCCTTTCTGCCAGCCTTGTCAACTTGGCCAGTGGCCCCTTCCGGGCCTTGTTTTGGCTGATGACTGGCCAGGTCTACATTGTTGCTCATCTTCCTGTCTAGCTGGTATGCCCTGTCACTTTGAGCTGCACCCTGCCCTGTCTCCCCACCCCCAGTGCCTGCTGTTGTCCTGTGTTGGGGCAAGGTGGTGGACATTCTTTTAGTCCCCTGCCTGGTGGCCCTGACATCTGAGCTCCTTACCTGAATACTCCTAGGGCTGAGGCCATGGGTGTAGCCCACTTTGCTCAAGTGTTCATCCTAGATGTTTCTAAGGATGTGTATGTGTAGAGAGAATGAGGTGCACAGCACTTGTGCAAGCTGTGTGGGTGCTGTGTGGCGGTGTGCAGAGGGACGCACATGTCCCTGCCTTGGCAAGCTCCAGGATGTGTCCCCAATGGCGGGGAGACCTCGGGCGGCGTGGCCCTCTCTGATTTTATATGTTGCATCTGGCAGGCCTTGGGGGCCCTTTCTGGGTGAGCAGGCAGGTACGTGAACGAGATCACAGGACTGGGAAGTGCTGGCCCTGGGAAGGGAGGGACTCGGGAGGGATGGGACAGGCTGGTGTTTACCAGGGTGTCGTGAGCTATGTGCTCACAACAAAAGCTCCTGCACTGCAGTGAAGTTAGCAGAAGGCTGAAGAATGATTCCACCTCCAGAACTATGGGGCAGCACCTGGGCCCATTTGAAAGGACTTAGCAAAGTGTGTTCTCAGCCCTGGAGCGAGCTGTGGGACCAATCAAAACGTCACCTCCTTAGGCCTCATCATAAGAGGAACAGAGCATGAGAAGTCATCAAGAATGCGAGCGCAGGAGCACAGCCCTTCAAGCAGGGTGTCAGGGTTGTTAGCACAGTGATGCAAGGTGCTTCGTACACCCTAACGGCCTGGCTGGTGTGTTGTTCATGGGGAGAGCTGGGTCCAAAAACTGTGTGTGATGGCAGCTCAGGGAAAAGCGTTGGAAGAGAAATGGCTGGTGTCAAGTCACGGGAAGGTGTTCAGGTCACACGTAGGGATCAGGTCACAGTGAGATGTTCAGGGTCGCCTGGAAATCTTCAAGGTTGCGTGGAGACATTTGAGGGATACATTGAAGTAGATGTGCAGAGCTGTTTTGATGTTCATTGTCATCGTGGAGATTTCAGGGTCACCGTGATGATGTTCAGGGATCTGGGAAACCATGCCACTGAATGTTCTGCCACCCTCTCTGACCCTCTTCTACACCACCAGGACTGACAGCCCCCTAACTCTGCCAGTGTGTGGAGCCAGTTTCAGCCCTGCTGGGTCAGGTGGACCTGAGTCTGGGGTGCAGGCAGAGGCTGGCCATTCACTGGGGCCCTGCGGATCCATGGTCATGGCCCTTACTCCCAGTCGCCACTTTGAAACAGCTATGATCCATTTCTCAAGTGCACCCAACTGTTGACTGGAGGGTATTCCAGCCTCCTGTTGGACGTGTCCTTGAGGTGTAGAAAAGTAAACTGAGGCACAATAGAATTTTTAAAGGGTTTGTGTCAGATGCAATTCATGAATGGGGAAACAAGAGGTTTAATGTTCATGGATACAGTTGCAGCAAGAAAAAATGTCGGTTACAGTTACAGGGTTGATTGTTACCTCCTTATACATCTGTAAGCTTATTGGCTGCTTCCATTGGTTAAACTTACTCTCTCATTTTCTTGCATTTGCCAAGAAACAGCTCACATTAAGGTTGGCCTGTATTTGTAAATTAGCCAAGGTTAGGGTCGCTTATGAGGTCTCTGCACCTTGGGCTTCACCTGCTCAGGGCCAGGTAGAGCAAAGCTGCTCATTTCATGGCAGCCAGGAAGCAGGGCCCGGACAGGATTGAGCACCCAAGGCTCTACCCTGTAATCTGGCCCCACCCACCAGGCCCCACTTCCTGTTTCCTTGTGTCCCAGCAATGCCACCCAGTGATTAACGTATCAGTAGGTTTAGCTGTTGTTACAGTTACAGCGCTTGTGATCTAGTCACTTCCCAAAGGCCTGTCACTTGGCCTTTGGGGACATTTTCGATTCAGTTCATAACAGGGGCCTCAGGCCTTTCAGCCATTTTAATTTACTTCACAGAGGTCATTTCAGAAACCTCTAGTTAGAAGGTGCCCAACTCTGTCCTCTCCCCATGGACTGTCCAACTTGCTCCACGCGCTTCCAGGTCTCTTCTGCAGGTGTCCCTGTAGCTCCTCTTGGCTGGGAGAATCCTGTCTTGTGGGAGCTCTGATCTTGGACCCCTGTGTGTTCCCGGGTGCTCTGCTTCAGAGAGTGTGGCACACAGTCACATCTGGGGCACTTGTGGCAGATCCTTGAGGGCCAGTGATGTCTGGGAGCTGCAGGTTCTGCTTCCCTGAGGCAGAGGCAGAAATGCTGGGTTTCATCAGATACAGAAACCCTCTGCTTCTGCAGCCAATGGGGTCACTCGGTTCTCACAGTTCCTGTGGCCTGAGTTGGGTGGGGGTGGGTGTTTGCTGCCGGGGGCCCTGTCATGGTCCTGTGTGGCTCTGGGCCTGTGGCCTGGGTGGGGCGTTGGGACATCTAGATGAGGTGTCCCGCTGGGCCAGCAGTCAGAGCCAGCGGCTGGGGCTGAGGCTCATCCTGGGCCACTGCATCTGGCCGTGTGACAGGCAGGGTGTCCCTCTGTTCTCAGTCCTCTGAGGGCTTCCCTGCAGCTGGGTCAAGCCAGGAAATCATAAATGCTACAAATGCTATGTGCCTGGGACCAGGCCTCTTCCCCAGTAACAGAAACTGAAGCCCGGGCCTTTGCACTGAGCTGTACATGGTTTGAGTCAGAGCCTTGCTAAGTCGCTGAGTGGCCTGGGCTGAGTTGAGATCCTCCTGCTCCAGAGGCTGGGAGGACTGGTTGTGTACCAACACTTCCAGTTTGGATTCTGTTGTAACCAAAGCAGCAGCACCCTTCTGGCCAGGCCTTCGCAGCTGGCCTCAGGTTGTGGCTGTCACAGGGGAAGCCCCAGGGCCCTGCAGGGACGAGTCTCCAGATGCTGCATCTCCTCACGGTAGCACGGTGGGCTGGTGTTTGCTTCATGCCTGAGTCTACCTGTGTTTTGCTTTAGTTCCCTCCCTGAGCCTTCCTAGAATGTTCCACGGGGCCTCTGGGAACAGTCCCTCTTCCCACTGTTACTGCCTGGGCACCTGGGCCCTGGGTAGGGCTTAAAGAACAGGAAGGTTTTCTGCCCAGTGGCAGAGGCTGGATGTCCAGGCTGAAGGAGCCATAGGGCTGGCTTCTTCTGGGTGTTCAGTTATGGACCATTTCTCCCTGTGTGTCCCTGTCCCAGGGTCCTGTTCTCATAGGCCACCGGTGTGACCAACCTAATGACCTTGTTTCAGTACAGCTTTAAGGCCCTGTGTGTAAATAGTGTCACACTTTGAGATCCTGGGGGTGAAGGCTTCTACATACGAATTTGAGGGAACAAACTTCAGCCCATAATGCTAGCCTTGTATTCTACTCAACTTCCTGCCTACTCAACAGCGTGCCTGCACCTGTGCCTGGCCTGTGGCCTCTGTGCTGGGGCCTGGGTGGCCTCTTGGGGCTGATGTAGGGTCGTTGTGGGGGTCCCTGCACGCTTCCGGAGGCTGCTTGCATCCGACCTCCGGGCCCACACTCTGTCCGGGCCCACGCAGAGCCGTGTCTGCTCTTCCCTGCAGCTCGGGGCCAATGCGCTGCTCTTTGTGGGTGTGAACATGTTCGGCGTGTTCGTACGCATTGTGACAGAGCGCTCGCAGAGGAAGGCCTTCCTGCAGGCCCGGGGCTGCATCGAGGACCGTCTGCGGCTGGAGGACGAGAACGAGAAGCAGGTGAGGACCTGGCTGGGGCCGCTGGGCTTCCCGCTCAGTGGCAGGGGCTGTGATCCTGGTGCTGCCTGCTTGTGTGGGGCCACGGAGAGATCAACTGGCTTGGGTGCCCTTTTGGGGCTGAGTTGCTCCTCAGCTGTGGATGTGGACGGCAGTAGGGGCGGCATTGGGCGCTTGTCTTTGGGATGCCGCTGAGTGGGTTCCCCTGGCCTCCGGAGGACCAGGCAGGTCCCGGCCGCACATCAGGAGAGTGTGAATCTGTGGCCTGTCCCGACCTGCTGGTGACAGGCCTGGGGCAGATGCTGAGGCGGCAACGTCACCTTGGCTCGGTGTGGGCAACCAGGGCATGCGCCTGGGAGTTGAAGGGGTCTTGCGGGCACAGTGGCAGCCCCCATGGTGCCTGCCATGGACTCCTCGCTGTGCCTGTGAGGGTGGAACGGGCCTGCAGGGAGCCCCATGGTAGTGCATCCCTGTGTCCGTTCTGCTGATCAGGGGCTATGCTGGGGGGCAGGGACGGGTGACCGAGAGCCTCCGGGCGAGGCCTGGCGTGTCACAGCACTGTCCCTGGGCACCCCGACGCCTCTCCAGTGTGGGGCTCAGGGGCCCTGCAAGTGCTGCCTGCTGAGATCTCAGGCCATGGTGGTCCGGGTGCCGGCCATTTCTGGTTACGGGTGGACACCACAGGGAAACCCAGGCTCCGTGTCCTAGGAAGTAAGCAGCAGTGGAGGAGGGGGTGCCACCTGTGCTAGGTGTGTGCATGGGTGTGTGTGTGGCTATGTGGATGGACGTGCAGGGGCGTATGTGGGTGTGAGCACAGGCGTGCACTGGGGCGAGTATGTGTGCACACCTGTAAGGATCACCTTGCTGCCTCCCTGTATCTGTTTTCTTCCTACAACCATATGGATCCTTTTATTTATTAAGTTTAACTTCAGTTTCTGATGAACATGTATTAATTGAATATAGCAAGGTCTTTATTAGAATATTAATAAGGTGCCCAGTGATGTTTCAGCTCTCTCGTATCTCGTCAGGTAATTAGTGTGTCCCTCTCCTTAGCCTTGCTGCTTTGCGTTTGCAGCCCTTAAATGACTCTTGGCTGAAACCGCACACAATGTACATAATATAGAACGCACTCCGACTTCTGTTCTGTCCTACATTCCCGGAGGGGACCTTGGGGGACTTGCCTTGATTCTGGGGGGTCTAAGTCATGAGCAGGGGGTGGTGGGGTGTGGGGCAGAGTCCAGAGGGGCAGGTCAGGCCTCCAGGAGGAGCGTGGTAAAGACCCTGACCCCATCCCCAGGCCCTGTTGGCTGAAGCTGGAGAGAGATGGCCTGAGGTGGCTGCCAGAGTAGTTCTGTGCATAGCCCGTGTGCTGGGCTGTATTCGAGCCCCTGACATTAGCAGGAGAGGCCCCTGGACATGAGGGTCAGGGCTCAGGTGATAGCCTGGGTAGAGTGTGTAGCCACACATTGGGCCCTGCAGGGACTATGTGGCTCAGGGACCTGGCCAGGCAGTGGCTTGTGCTCTGTCACTGAGCAGGGATGGCTGGAGCGCCCAGGGCACACTGCTCCCAACGGTGTACCAGACACACACGGGCTGCGCCTGTGGCCAGCGCTGAGCTCCCGGACCTGCAGGGCTGCTCTTCTGAGCTGCAGACTCCACTGCTTTAGAAGCCCCTTATCCTGTCCCAAGGACTTGATGGAACACACGGAACCTTTGAAATAGCAGCCCCGGCCCAGTGAGCCCTGGCAGGGCTGGAAGTGGAGGCTGCAGGCCCTCACTTCTCCTCCTCTCCGTTCACAAATCTGATGTCTCCACAGGCGCCAACATGCTTCTTGCCTTAGCCTATCGCTTCTCACCTTGGTGGATGGGCGGACCTGCTCCAGGCCCTGGGGAACAACTTCCTTGTGTCCCAGGGATGGTGCCTGTTAGCAGACAGAGTCCTGAACCCACTGGACCCATACAATTAAGTTGCAGGTTCACCAGCAAGAGGCGCAAAGGGTTTTAGTAAAAAGGAATTTAAAGTGTGCACTCAGAGAAATAGAATTTGGGCTCTCAAGAGAAAGAGGTGCATTATGATCTGGAGCTGGGAACATTTAAGGAGTCTGGGGCATCTCAGGGTGGGTGGCATCCAGACTGTTACCCATGGGCAGGCTGGATTAGAATGCATGTGTTTGAAGCTGAGATCTGCTGCCCACTAATACCGCTGCTTCCCTGAGGATAAACTCAGTTCGCAGAGGAGAAGAAGCAGTCTATTCTCAGGTGAAAAGGCCAATTTTCAAGTAAAAGGGAATTGCCCAGGTTTATTGTATCCTGGGAGAAGAGAGAGAATTTTAAACTGAGCTTATGTCCTGAAGCTGTAGGCTTTCTTAAAAACACAATTTTGGAATTCTGATTTTTTTTTTTTCCGTGTCTCCTTTCAACTTATCCTTATTTCCTGTATCCTACTTCGGTGCTGATTGGAATTGACCAGCCAGGGCCATGCTGGGTGTTCTGTGCCTCAGTAGTACCAATTTCTGCAGCAGCCCCATGAAGGAGAAGGATTATATGGGGTCCTTTGCCCTCTGATTATTCAGTGCCCATAGCACCATGTTGGGGTCCAGCCTGGCTTCTGCCAAAGTGGCCGGGTCTGGCTGCCCACATTGTCTTGGGCTGGGAGTTCCATGCCAACCACATGAAATAACAACTCTGCTTTTTAAAGGAAATAGAAAGTGTTTTATCCTGAGCCAAGTACTAGTGATCCTGGCCCAGGAATGTGGATTGGGGTTATCTTGAGTGATGGACGTGTTCTGCTGTGGAGGAGGTTACCTGAGCTTTATAGCCACAGAATAAAGGACATGAGTCAGCTGGGTGTGGTGGTGCATGCCTGAAATCCCAGCACTCTGGGAGACCGAGGCAGGAGAATCACAAGTTCAAGCCCAGCTTGGGCAACTTAGCAATTTAGTGAGTCCCTGTCTTAGAATAAAACAGAAAAGGACTGGGGTTGTAGTTGCGTGCAGAACCTCTGGGTTCAGTCTGCAATGCTGCAGAAAGAAAAAGTCATAAATCATTGTGTCTAACACATGCCTTGGTAGGGGCAGTAGGTTGGCTGCAGTGTATCAGGGAATCTTTCTTGGAGTTTCAGGTGTTAGGCAGCATTCTTGGATTTGGGGTTGATGGAGTATGAGGTCTGCTAATCCTAACTGTACATTCTGAGCATGAGGATATTAGCCTGAGGATGTCAGGTTGCTTGCAAAGGCTAAAAGTAAGTGGCTGTTTTTCTAAAGGATGTAAGGTAGCCCAAGATAATCTTGGCTGTTGCTCATCCAGGGCATGCAGTCTGTGGGATCCTTGAGCCAAGGTGGCTTCTTCAGAGAACGACAGCCCACGTGTCTGTCTAGAGGAGCACTGGAGTCAGTCTCCTGTCCTCCTGGGACCTTCTTGGGGGTGGCCTTACACTGAAGGGGCTGGGAGGGAAGATGGGGACAGGGAGCAGACTTTTGTGTGTGTGTGTGTGTGTGTGTGTGTCCTTGTAGCACTTACCCTCGCTTCTAGAAGGCTTTCTGTTCTACTCCAGGAAAACCCACCTGAATTGTCAGTGTGCCTGAAGCTGATTGCTTTGGAAGTGATAGCAGAAGTCTGGGCCATTAACCCCCAAGTTGAAGAATGAAATAGTGGACAAAAAGGAATCAGTTAGAGGGAGTGTTGCTGAAAGTATCAGAAGAAAACTCCCTGTTGTTAAGAGGGGTCCGGAAAGTGGGTTTGCCAGGGAAGCTCTTTGGCTAGGGTCTTTTATGGTATGCAGAGCATGGGAATTTGCTCAGTGTCCAGTTATCACAGGTGGCCTTGTGGGTTTAAAATAACCAGTTGGGACTCAGCCTTTTTTTTTTTTTTGTACCCGGATTGAACTCAGGACTTTGCACTTTGCCACTCAGCTAAATCCCTGGCCCAGAAGACTCAGGCTTTCTAATGCAGAGTTCAAAGACAAAGCCAGTTTCTTACAGCCTTTGAATTCCTTGAAGCCCAGCTCCCAGCCCAGATGTAGGGAGGGATTGGTGCATTCCATTCTGCCGAAAGAGTTTCTTTCCTGGGAGTCAGAATCCTTAACTGCCTATCGTCATCTGAACTCTTACTATTTTTTCCCATATCTATTTTTACATTTCTGAGCCTAGCTACCATATTTCCCCCCAAAGAAGACTGAGTCTTATATTAATTTTTGCTCCAAAAGATGTAATAGGGTTTATTTTCAGGGGATGTCTTATTTTTTATGTACAACAGTTTACATTTATTCACATACAACAGTCTATATGTATGCATGTATGCATGTACAAAAATCTACACTTATTCATATAAAAATCTATATTTATTCGACTACAGTCGTGTCATGTGGAACATCATCATAATTGAGTCTGTTGTGTGTGGTAACAGACATACTTAACACGTCTGTCCAGCAGATGATCTTAACTGGGGCTTATTTTAGGGGTCTGGCTTATAATATGAGCATCCTGAGAAATCATACTAAGGGGTGTTTTCCCATTGGGTCTTATTTTCAAGGTAATAGGATAGCTATACAGCTTGAGTTAGCTCTTAACTTGGTGTATGCACTGTTTTCTTTGTAAGACTGACCAGCCCGAGTCCATCTTGTGCCCTGTTCCTTGCTAGCTGCCAACCAGGATCTGTAAACTGAACTGCCTCTTACAGAATTTGGATGTGCTAAAATGACCCCATCTCCCACCAGAACAAAGCTTGAACCCTGGCTTGGTTTCCTGCTGTGTGTAAATGAAGGGTCAGGAAGAGTGCTTCTTGATTGGCTGTGCCCACATGCAAATGAAGGGTATTGAAAATAGCATCTTCTGATTGGTCCTGTGAACAACAGTGTCAGATTCGAATGAAGAATTGAAAATAGCCCTTTTCTGTTTGGTTCCATGTTCGGTGATGGTGGTGTTATCACATTGGGAGTGCCCCTCTCCCTGAGTCTCTCCTGCCCTGGGATGTCCCTCACCCTGTTGCTGGGTCTCAGTGGGACG